TGTTGAATTGTCGCATAAAAATGTCTGAATCGACAGTACTTTACCTGAAGTGGAATTTTGACGGCATTTGTACACAGGTTTGTGTTGTCCAGTGTTTGCTCTCATCTTTTCATATGATATGTGTTTTTATTGTCTAAAATGTATAATAAAAGTGAAGAAAACAATTTTGCATTGTATGTCAGGAATGGGGCCAAAGGCTAAGAATCGGAGAATTAAAGGCCAAACCGATCACCAATCGGAGGCTTATTATGTCCAGTGATATCACTATAACTAACGCTCAGTTATCGGACGAAGGCTTCTATAAATGCATTGCTTATGATTTGGCCAATAATTTCCGAGAAGTGACTAAATATGTGAAAATATTTGGTAAGTTTTGATAAATTGCTTTTGTGATGATTTTTCTTGTTGTTTACAAAACTATATTTGATAGAAAAGCCAAAATTGAAGATTTGGTCCGAGACTAACAATCAGACCGTGAAATGTAATGAAGAATTCATATAGTTACACAGGTAGTTAAGTCACGGATATGATGCGAAGGCTTTGAATATAAATTGGACTAAAAATGATGTTTTGCTAACTAATGATAAGAAGAGAGGGATTCGTATTTCAGAGATGGGCTCAGAATTCGCTTATTTAAGAATTAATAATACTATTAACGAAGACTCGGGTTTATATCGAGTGGAGATTAATGTATTGAATATGTTATACGCGAACACATCACTGAATCTAACAGTGAAGGGATGCCCTCCAGAATTTCAACCAAAGGGTTTGTAAATTACAATTAAAGTATAATATAATTTGAATTGATTGCAAAATTATGTTCACAGAAATTAAAGAGTCAATGGACGAGAGAAGTGATCTCATTATAATTATAGTGATTTTCATCATATTTGGTACAATCCTATTAGTGATGGCTGTTATGATCGGCCAAAAGATCAGAGAGGCTCGAGTAAGTGATTACTGATATTGCTTTTATAACTTCTTATAGTAAATACAATATCATATTATTTCACACCAAATAACTAAACAGCGAAGTTATACTTATATAATATAAGTATATTAAGTGTAAGATCAATATAAATAAGTAAAAACTAATATAACAACTTTTTTGTGTGGGATTTTTGTATATAAATACAACAATTATATGATTACCGGAATTGATTTCATTTATTTGTTGTATTCATACAAATATTTATATTATTTACTGTCTTTGTCTTTGTTCTTAATCTCATAAACTCAATGTTAAACAAGCTCTTACCAGTTTACCTCAATTAATTGGGCCTATATGGTGAGCTGCTTGTTTAGCTAAATAACGGAATGCTAGTATAGTGGGAGTTTCCTATCGATAACCTACAGTTCGGTCAGATCTTAGGTCAGGGAGCCTTTGGCAGAGGTATGTGTTGTGCCCTCACATCCATTCACATAACATATGAATATTATTGCCTTACGATCATAAGTGGGAGTTTCCTATCGATAACCTACAGTTCGGTCAGATCTTAGGTCAGGGAGCCTTTGGCAGAGGTATGTGTTGTGCCCTCACATCCATTCACATAACATATGAATACATGAATTGATTTTTGATGTAAATGTGTATTCAGTGGTCAAAGCGGACGCCTATGACATCGAAAGGCTTCAGAATAGGGACGCGTCGTTATCTGAGCCCAAGTCGACTACAGTTGCCGTCAAAACGCTGAAAGAAAGGGCGGATTTGAGTCAAAGAAAAGCATTATTAGCCGAACTGAAGATTTTAATACACGTGGGAAAGCATATCAATATTGTCAACCTTTTAGGCGCCGTCACTAAAGACCTGATCAAAGGACAGCTATTAGTTATTGTCGAGTATTGCCGATACGGCAACATTAGGTCTTTCTTATTGTCTCAACGCATGAATTTTATCAATCAATTGGACACTAATCACGATATCCTAAGCAAATCACAGCAAATGGAGTCAAATAATACTAATGATAATCATATACACGACTATCAGAATGTGGTCACAATAAATGGTATTAATTTTAATTAATTGTTAAATAATTTTTATTCCCGATCTAATGATTGACTCAATTATCGGTAGATAATCTTGAGATTGTTGGTCACACTATAAACACTTGGGATTTAATCAGTTATGTGTATCAATGCGCTAAAGGGTTGGAGTATTTATCCTCTAAAAAGGTAAATATAAATTAAAATATTTTTTAAAAAATAATAAATTGTCATAAAATTAATTGATTCAAAAAAGCTAATACATAGAGATCTGGCGGCGCGTAATGTATTGCTCGCCGACCATCATATCGTCAAAATATGTGACTTTGGTTTAGCCCGAGATTGTTATGATTACGATAACTATGTTAAGAAAGGAGAGGGACCTCTACCTATCAAATGGATGGTATGTTTTGCGACACACTTTTCATTCTTATAGACTATAAGTTATAGTTTATTAATGGACTATTAATTAGTTCGAGAATTTAAATTATAATTAGTATATTTTATTTAAATAAAAATATTCATGAGATTAGGTCTACAAATTGATAAAACACTTCTTATAATGAATTTGAAATAAAAGAGGGTTTCAAGTGTTTGTCACAATTAACAGGCGATTGAGTCGATGCGCGACAAGTTATACACAGAAAAGTCGGACGTTTGGTCTTTCGGTGTATATATCTATGAAGTATTCACTTTGGGATCGAATCCCTATCCGGGCTTTGAAATCGATGAACAATTTTATAAACGACTTGTCGACGGATACCGAATGGAAAGACCAGAATATGCGCCAAACAATATGTGAGATATCTTTTGTACTCTTTTCTATTGTTTTGAGTTTTTATTCATTTTGTTTCTCTATATTTAGTTCAGCAATAATGAAGAGCTGTTGGGAATATGAGCCCAAAGATAGGCCTGATTTTACATCTATTTCTACTCAATTACGAGATATGATGAGCAAACATAACCTAAAGGTTTTTCTTTTATTTATATAACATATTATGAATAATGTGTTAGAATTTTAATTATTAAACGCCCGTAAACTATTCTTTTAATATAAATAAATGTCCTTATACTTTTAGTTTATGTTTTGATGACATTTCTATTGCTTAACTTACTTTGCGGGCTGCTTATGTACGCTTACTTACTGTTGGTTTACACATGCGAACGGATCGATACTTATGTGGATATGTCTGTAAAGAGTGAACAAATGAATAGAGGGCTCAATGGTATGGATAATAGAGTTAATTATGTGAATGAAAGTGTTGTCAATAATGAAGAACTCTATGAATACGACGACGTGAAGAATATTCGGTCCATTNTGTAATTCCGATTCCGAATTCGTGGTCAAGTCTGGGAGACTTATGGCCGTATCGGCTGCTCATCTGTATTATAGATCACAGAGATATAAGTCAACCAATTATTGATAATCTCTGCATCGAAATATTGCGGTAATAATGATAATCATTATATTAATATTCCTCTTACTTTACATATACAGTAATTATTCTATACTTTTTAAATTATTCATATGACATGGAAATATTGAATAATAAATTGATATTGATGTTTTGATGTCTATATATTTGCAGTGCATTATATCATGAGTTTGGTTTTGTGGGCAATAATAACAATAACAATAATAAGTCAAACAAAGCAGACTTATTGCGTACAACGAATCTGTTATTCACAAACATAGGAATCAATTATTTATGGCAACGTATATGCGATCTCTTCTCGCATTCCTGCGCTCACTATAAACACATTGAATCGCGTAATGAATGTCACGTCAAAAGTGTTGGCTTTGAGACGATAACGATTCTGGAAATGTGTTCAATCGTTAACTTTGTGTTGGAAAACGTGTCGATCGAGGCCTCGGAGAGCGCGAGTCAAAGCCATTTATCCCAATTCCTTCTCCATCTCCTCAACGCACTCATCACTTACTGTCATATTCTTCACAACACAGACTTTGAGCACTCGATTAAGTTGTGCTCCAATATTGTCCATAAAATAAAGCCCACAATCGCTCAGACAATACAAAACAGGCTTAAAAAGGATAACAATGAACACAAAGTGAGCGGAAAACCCATTCAGAAGATTGATTCTGTTATCCAAGAAGAAGCCGAAGACTGCGAACTGTCTCCACCATCAGAACAACTTCTCAACGAAGAGTTATTTCAAAAATGTTTGATTAATACATTGCAGACATTGTTTAATGAATTCATCGAAAAGCGTTTAATAAAAAACATAAACGATTTAAACGAATGCTTTGCTTCGCTTCGAGTGTCGTCTATAAACAGTGACAGAGATATGAATTTTGAAACACACATTAAAACCATTGAAATCAATGCGAATATGATTGACGTTTACACAAATCTGTGCCAATTATTGGTCCAAATGTCGGCCATTCCTTCGTTGTCTGAGAAGAAGACTAATAAACTATTGTTTTCTAATTGTGATGAATTACAGCAATGGTTTCAACACCTGTTAGTTTTGGCAATATATCCGGAAGACTGTCTACAAGTCTGCTACTCCTCCATATCAACCACTTTAGACTTAATAACGTTAACCAAAGCCTTGTTATTTGATTTGCCGGTCAATCAAATGTCAATCACATCGAATGGATCACCTGTTTTCGACTTAAGCACAAACGACGAGAACGCAAACGCCAACAAGACTTTCAGTTTTGATCCAATGATTTCGGCCAACGAATTGGCGTTTGTTTTCCATCAAACTTCTTGGTTCACACAAACCACTAATAAATTATGGGCTAATTTAGAGGATACTAAGGCTCACCTCCATCTCGAGACGGCAACACTTCTTCAACAGTTACACAACTTAGCGGTCGATTCCTCTGTTTGTGAGTCTGTTATCTGCACTGCAATGATATCTCCCGACGAAAGGATTGCATACGAATCGAGAAAACGATTTACTATTTTATATAATATAACGAGAGATATGAAAATGAGAACAATTCCGTCGGCGATGGTTCGTGAGTTCGATCGGCCGCTGTTTTTCATGTTAGACAGTCTGTCGCATAAAGTGGACGCCCATAACCCACAGGCCATGGATTGGCTCAACCAGTCGTTGAAAAACGGAGACATCGCCCGAATTCTAGAGCCCCTTCTGTTCATTATACTACACCCGGACACGAGTCGACTCTCCGTACAACACGCGAACATCCATCAGCCGGGCGTCGGCGGCGTTACAGACTCGGTGTCTAAAACGGGTGACGAACTCGACAACGCTTCCATCGCTAACTCGGAGTCCAAGATCTACGCCATCAGTAGTACGGGAGGGAACGTGATATACCACGTGAACTCCGACGGTCGCATGCGGTTCGCGCCCTCACCCGTGCCCTCCAACAAAGTGCTGACACTCACGCAAACTGCCAACTCTTCGAACGCTAATTCGCTGAACAAATGGATCACATCGAAGATCACTCTCCCTCAGTATGAGGTGCCTCCCAGTCATGAGAATAACGTTATGGACAAATACCTGTCCATTAATATGGTGTTGAATCCGTTCGGATCCATGTCTTCGTTAAATAGTGACGCTTTCGGAGAGATATTTGACAACAATTCTATACCATTTGCCAGATCTTTGCCTAATCTTTCAAATATAAGACGTTTGGACACGAAATCTGTCAAATCAGACAACTTAACGAAATCGCCGACACCTTATTCAACGCCTGTGCCATCGCGAGCGACGACCACCTGTTCGACACCCGTTCCCACTAAAAAGATTTTTGACGATTCAGAGCTTACGGACACAGAAGTGGTTCGCATTGTATTGGAAGAGTTGATCGATAAAGTTGTCTACGATTTGGAGGACACAGAATCAGAAGACTCGCAAACGGCTATAACTAATTCCGAGACCATAAGCGTCGGCCCCAACAGCAGACCCGTAGCGCTGAGTCAACTGCACTCACATATGCTTCTCTACCAACAGGTCTATGACTCGAAGCGAACGCTTTACGCGTTGACAACACTTTGGAATATAATATTAGCGGAACCGCAAAGAGTGCTCTTCTCGATGGCCACCACTAGTATAAGCAATCGATTAGGTCTGCGATCTCAAGAATTACAAGCCATTTGCGCCCGACATCGCAACTCTCTGTACGGCAAAGGCTTTTACAGTGATTTGAGCTCCGATTCCATCACTTCTTTCAGAAGCAGTTCTTTCCTGGAAGTGATTGTCTCGTCGTGTATGCAATATCTTCGCAGTTATTATCCGAGTTTACCACAAACCAGACTCAACGACGAAGAGATCGCCGGCAACCAAAAGGTGCGAATTGTTTCGTGCGAAGTGTTAAGACTTATATTCAATCAGTTGTCGGTTGCGGTGAAAGGGAAGCAAACTTTCTCCACATATTTACACGATTTGCTGATGCGATGCAAAGTTCAGAAATCGATACTTCAGTGCATTGTTTCGAGTGTTTATAACTTCCAGAGCAAGAAAGAGCCCAACACTAGTAGCGACAGCGCCTTCGCTGAGGCTCTCATTCAATTCAATGAGTGTCACAACACTTCTGCCAACGGTTTTCAAGAAGACCTCCAGAAATCATTGCTGAAACTGTTGGAGGAATTGATGATTTTGGAGCACAGAGTGGCGCCCAATAGCTCTGACAAAGAACAGCCGACGCATAACCGAAAGGGCAGTGACTCGAGAGCGGCCAGAATCCGATTCCAGCCGCAAATGTCTTCACTGAAGTATTACCCAAATATGTTAATACCGGCGCAGTCTATGTTCCTGTCGGCCATTCAGACAGCACTACAACAGTCACATAAAGTCCATTTGCATTCCAATTGGTTAGAGTTAGTCGAGTCGACGCTACCCTTCGCCGGACGCTCTCTGTCGCGACTCGTAGTCTGTGTATTGACTCAATTGTGCCAAAACCTTGAGAGCACTTCTACTAAGATATCGACTAAAGCGTTGAAAGACGACAAATCGGAAATGTCTTCAAACTATTTAATAGTCTTATTGAAGAGTTTGGCCACTCTTTGCCACTTCTGTCTACTCGACACGTCTAACATCGCCGCCAGTCCTACGCTATCGCCTCAATCGCAACCAATCACCTCCTCTTCCACTTTAATGCAATCAAATTCAAATCCCTTTCAAATGTTATCAAACTTTCTGCACGTGTTTTCGGTTTCCGATTCAAACCAAGACATGTCATCTGTGGGTCGGGAGGGTTCGGCTAATGACCCATTGATCTCTACACGAAAGACACTTTTAACACATTTACCACGAGTTTTATCGGCTCTCTTAATGGTTTGGAAACAAATAAAGTTATCTGAAAAGGATTCAGTGGACAACGGCTGGCAGATTATGGGCAGCAGTAAAGATGTTAAACAAAACATATTAAGCTTTTTGTCGCCCCTTTCTCTCATCCATGGCTCGCATTTTATGACTGCAGTCGCTATTGTTTGGTACGATATTAGAGACAATTCTGGCGTCAGATGCAGAAAACAATGGACACAACCTTGTTCTGTCGATCAGCTATTGTTAGTGGAATTAGTGGCCGACATACGAGTCCTGCCCATGGAGTCAGTCCTTCAAACGATTCGACAGACAATGAAAGCGCCGCCGAATGCCAACAGTTCTAAGCACATGAAGAGACCGCCGATCGAGGTCTGTATGTTGCAGTTCTTCTTGGCGTACATCAAAGCCTTTCCCGGCTCTCAACTCCTCGAGTGCTGGAAATCTGTGTTATTGCTGTTGAAAGAAGGGCTACAGATCTCGTCGATGGCACAGCCATTAGTGCAGTTCCATCTGTTAGCCATTCTGCATGAGTTCGTTCAGGCGGCGCCTCTCATCGAGGATCGCAAAGACCAGAAGGATCTTCAAGACGTGGCACAGAAATTGGTGGACGCGTGCACTACAGTGGCCGGCGCTCGACTCGGACAGACTAAATGGTTGCGAAGGAATCTGGAGGTGATTCCCGGCCCTCAGGCCGACCACAACGACGACGAGAGCAACGACTTTGAGAACTCGTTTCACGCGATCGATTCGATGAATGGAAACCTCGATTTATCTAACATTTCCGAAGCGGACAACTCATTCCTCTCCAAATTCAGTGTACAGGCGTTGTGTGCTTTGGCTGAAGTGAGTTCTCCACTCAATCCTAACAATTACTTGATTTTAAAAATAAATATGATTTGTGTGATAGTTTGTGGCACCAGTTCTGGACGTGGTTTACGTTAGCGAAGAGAAGGAGAAAGTGGTTCCATTGGTATCAAACATAATGTATTATATCGTTCCGTATCTCAAGAACAGAAGCAAACACAACGTCCCGAGTTTTAGGGCCTGTTCTCACTTACTATCAAATTTGTCTGGATATCAATACACGCGAAAGGCGTGGCGTAAAGACGCGTTTGAGCTCTTACTGGACCCGACATTCTTCCAGTTGGACTCCGAGTGTTTCGTTCACTGGAAAACAATGGTTGATCACCTCATGACTCACGACAAGAACACATTCCGGGAATTCTTGGCCCGAATGTCTGTCACGCAATCGAGTGGTGCGCTTAAGCTGTTCAGCAGTAAAGACCAAGAGATTGAACAAAGAGCTCATTTGGTGAAGAGGTTGGCCTTCATATTGTTCTGCAGCGAAAAAGATCAGTACCAGAAATATATGTCCGAAATACAAGAGAAACTCATTGAGTCCCACCGATTGAGTCAATCACCTCTAGTTCAGGCACAGGTATTGCTCTGCTTTCGAGTTATAATTTTGCGAATGTCTGCACATCACTTGACTTCGTTGTGGCCCTTCATCTACACAGAAATGGTTTGTTTCATTGCTTTACATGGTTTGCGCTCTTATTTAATTGGATTTTGTTTTCGTTTATTAGTTTCAAGTTTTCTTAAACATCGAAATGGAGTTAATGACAGACACACCGGAGTTCAGGTTTGCATTCTTTGTCATTACAATTTGTGGCTAACTCTCTGTTTTTGAATTCTTGTTTAACAATTGCTTTGCATTCAAACATTTCAAACATTTTCTAATAATCGGGTCTTTTCTCTCAAATTCTTAACATTCAAATCTATGGTTCTTTGCTATTCATAGGAGAAACAATGGGTACGGAATCTAATACCTATTTATAGAAACTAACGCTTATTATTCTAACGGTGTGTCTCTCAAACAGTTCCCACATTCAGCGTCTGTCGAATTTGGACTCAAGTTGGGTCACGAGTCAGAGTAACGGTTTGGCCGCCCATAACAACCCTCAATGGCTTCAACTATATCTGGCGGCGTGTAAACTGTTGGACATCGCGATCGCAATGCCGGCCGATTCTCTGCCACAGTTTCAGATGTATCGGTGGGCGTTCGTCGGCGGCAACAAAGACCCCACTTCTCTGTCCAATGGAGTGAATAAAAGTTCTCTCCACCCGAACCCCAACATAAGCCCGACTTACCCTCCTTTTGAACCACACGTCGTCCGCATTAATAATTTGATGAACGCTAAGGTATTGTTTCAATGCTTTTACGAATCCAAACAAATGCTTAATAATGAATGTAATGTTTTGACAGAACCAAGAAGTGGAATGCCTGCCCTATAGAGCCAAATACCCTCTCATTACAAAGACATCAATTAAGAGTCTATCAGAATTGCACCCATTTTTCCATACATTACTCAAATCTTTCAAACATTTCAAACATTTTCTAATAATCGGGTCTTTTCTCTCAAATTCTTAACATTCAAATCTATGGTTCTTTGCTATTCATAGGAGAAACAATGGGTACGGAATCTAATACCTATTTATAGAAATTAACGCTTATTATTCTAACGGTGTGTCTCTCAAACAGTTCCCACATTCAGCGTCTGTCGAATTTGGACTCAAGTTGGGTCACGAGTCAGAGTAACGGTTTGGCCGCTCATAACAACCCTCAATGGCTTCAGCTATATCTGGCGGCGTGTAAACTGTTGGACATCGCGATCGCAATGCCAGCCGATTCTCTGCCACAGTTTCAGATGTATCGGTGGGCGTTCGTCGGCGGCAACAAAGACCCCACTTCTCTGTCCAATGGAGTTAATAAAAGTTCTCTCCACCCGAACCCCAACATCAGCCCCACTTACCCTCCTTTTGAACCACATGTCGTCCGCATTAATAATTTGATGAACGCTAAGGTATTGTTTCAATGCTTTTACTAATCTAAACAAATGATTAATAATTGATGTAATGTTTTGACAGAACCAAGAAGTGGAATGCCTGCCCTATAGAGCCAAATACCCTCTCATTACAAAGACATCAATTAAGAGTCTATCAGAATTGCACCCATTTTTCCATACATTACTCAAATCAAGTCTACAAACGAGTCAATCGACAAATCAAAGCCATTCATTAATAGACACATCAACGACGAGCACATCCTTGGATGCGGCGCTCGCTTTCATCGATAAAATAATTGAAATCGATTTTCTCGATTCAATTCCTATCGTCTGATTCGAGGATTGATTACATTCCAGAAGTGCCTCTAAATTGCAAACAAATCAATGAATATAAATATATTTAAAACTGTTATTGAAAATCATATTTAATTTTTTTGGAAGAAAATACTTTATGGAAGCGTTGGGTAATAATCGCCACAAAGAAAAATAGTTAATATTTTCAAGACTATACATACAAATAAAATATTTAATCTATAAATACATTTTAAAAGTATATATAAAATATAGAGTCTATAATAAGAAGCATGTATTTCTGTAATAACAATATATTTATTGTATTTATATATAATTTTAGTTAAATTTAATTTTAAGTATTGTAAGTTTTCTCTCTCCCTCTCTCTTTGCTTTAGGTTTTTGAAAAATCAATCTTTAATTTCATTTTGATTAAGAAAAACGTTTGTTAAAAATAACTTTTATTGTGATAAATACCGTAGTTTTTTGGGCTTACTTTCAGCTCTTATGTTATCAATTGTTTAATTATTAATTAATTAATTAAAATTCAAACATTTATCCGTTTAATCGATTTATTAAATTTGTTATTCAATTGAACTGTCGCTTACAAAATACCAGTAATAAATAGATCATCATTTCCTATATCTTATTCAGACATTTCGTAAATCATTTGTTTCATACAGAGGTTACAAATGCAGTGGTATTTGTAGTCATACATTGTTTAGTACTTATCTAACAGTTTAAGCCTTAAGCCACAATCGATATCGCGTTGAAATGAAGTGCAAATGAATTATTTAATAATTAGATTAAACAAAAATATAAATTAATGTCATAATAGCAGTGGTAAACACACTGTCAGACAAAGCTATCAGACATAATCTGATACCACTTTTATTAAGTAATGCAATCGTAAATATGATTACCATACATGGTCAATTTTCATCAATTATATTTTTGGCACAGATTCTAAAAGCACGCTATCATTGCTGTACATACAGTACAGTATAAAAGTAGGCAAAATTGTTATTGATTTTGTTGTTCGCTGCGAATAAAAAGCTCTAATTTATATTTTCAAACCAATTAATACTATTAATATAAATAAATTATAATTATTCTCATTAAATATAAATATTTTCAATAATTCTCATCACAACTGTTTATCAGTTGAGTATTTTATTTTTAAACAAATTCAACACAAAATGCATTTGAAATGATTCCTTACGTAAGGGATTAAGTGCTAAACCGATTAACATAAGGTCTAATCTCATAATCTTTTAATCACATAAAAAGTGTCACAATTTCGCTGTGCTTTAAATATGATGGGGAAGTAACACATACTGTAAGCAACTGTTTGACATTCATTTTGCACTGCATTTCAAAGGCTTTGCTGAATATAAAGAAACTTTCTTTTGAAGCGCGGAATTAATTGCAATTGAATTGATATTCAATGATATCTGAGCTCTAAATCAAAGTTATACTTCTATTAATAATTTAAACACAATAATTCAAACCAAAGGCACAAATATATTATACATAATGTAGGGTAAAGAAGTCCTAAGAGGAAGAATATGTTTCTCCACATTTAGTAATGGATTTTCTGTTATACCGTATATAAAGTGATAAAAAAATAAATGTTTGTTTTTTTTGCTGAAATATAAAATAGTGTAGTAATATATGCCGAGGAAATAGTGTTTTCCTTCTTATAGTAGACTACAAATTAAATCTAAAATGTATAAAATGAGTGCTTAAGATGTTTTGCTTCATATGATTTGTTTGGGATTTATATGCCGACAGTTGTCTAATGTATTATTTGAAACATTGAGTTTGTTATGTCTAACTCTTTATAATGTTTTCGTATTCACTAAAAAAAATAAGAAATAAAATTCAAATTAAAGAGTTGTTGAACTAATCGCAGCCATCGATGATCGACAACATCTCACTTCATATGTTTGGTTAATGAAAACTATTCGTACGACTGTTTATCAAAAATCATTAACACATGTATTTTATTTATAGACACGTTTGCGATCAAATCTAAACTGCCCTTAAGTACAGTATATCATAGTTTACACTATATTTAGTTAATAAAAAAATATTTGTTTGTATAAAAACTAAATATTAACTAAACTAACGGTTCGCTAAAAGGATAACAAATTATTGGTGTATCGGATGAGGGATTAAAGTAAATAAAAAACAATTTTATGTTTTGAAAGAATCTGTTTGTAAACATCATTAAAGGAAAACAATTTCCAATAATACTGTGTATTCACATTATTTGGTGAAAATATTACATAAAATTACATTAAATTTTCTTTTATATTCGCGGAAACCGTTCAGTAATTGAAGGAAATCTGAGATTTAAATCAAATTCAAACTCTTTTAATGATTAAAAAACAAAATCAAAACTGAAATAAGGAGTGGAAGTCTATAGGAAGTCGTCCTATCAGTTGCGAGACTGAGAGAAAGTATTTCTAAATTTAGTAAAAAGATTTCCAAAACATAAAACGATGCAAAAAGACAGTACATATCGAGTGTTCAGTATATCTCTAACTAATCAGTGGAGAAGTCGAGTGGAGTTTTAAAAGAAATGTTGTGTGAAAAGTGAAAACAACTGCACAACGACTGGAAGTGGAGACCAAAAAAGTGAATCCCAAGACTCAGTAGGAGTTTTAAGTGCTGTACACAACCCCTGAACCCGTCCTCAACCCCTCAAATGAGTGATATTCGGTTGCATTCATTGACACATCTATTGGGACCTCAGCTCTGAAGTACACTTTGGTTGTGAAACTCTGAGCACTGGATGTGATAATTATATTATTGGACTAAAAACCACAGTCGCATCACATCTCCTCTCTGTGTGTCGATGGCATGGCTTTAGTGTTAACTTTATGTGCAGATGCTGTCAAAGTGTATACATGTATATAATGTAAAATTTACTAATATTTGTGTTTTTATAGTGAAATTGTGTGCAATATTTGTGGAGACAATCGTTGAGTGAAAGACCTAATTGTCGCACAATTGGCTTCAATGATAACTAATTAAGCGAAATGTAGAGCTCATTGGCTCTCAGACTCGGCAACACATTGAATAAAGTTATACTAAAGTTATACAACTATTTTCATTGCATTCATTCATTCATATGGTCTGCACTTTAAACAACACATAATAATAATGAGTTTGGGGCTCGGTTCCAGTTTCCCGTCTTTTCGATTTAGCCCACCAACATATATATTTTTATAACCAGCACATATAGCCCTCCAAAAAACCCTCTGGGCACACCCCTCCCAGACCTCCTTTTTTAACCCCCACCCCCATCAAAATTACGAAATTTATGANAGAGACAATCGTTGAGTGAAAGACCTAATTGTCGCACAATTGGCTTCAATGATAACTAATTAAGCGAAATGTAGAGCTCATTGGCTCTCAGACTCGGCAACACATTGAATAAAGTTATACTAAAGTTATACAACTATTTTCATGGCATTCATTCATTCATATGGTCTGCACTTTAAACAACACATAATAATAATGAGTTTGGCATTCAGTTAACGCTTGGTTTCACTCTTATGAACACTACATTTCACTACATTTTTTTCAGATGAAACAAAAAGTAACCTAATGAACATTTATTACGTTTTCACTTCACACAAAACGTTATTGAAAGAGAGAGATGACGAAAAGATGGACTTTTTACTCTCAGTTAACGTTACTTTACCTAAGTCTAACAACACTCCAACAGTCGACTCCTCGCGAAGATATCGATGAGGAGGGAAACGATCAGATCCAGTGCAAGATCAAGGAATTCAGGGGTGAGTTGAGAAGTGTGCCCTTGCTCATTTTTTAAATTCAATATATGGTGTTTTTGTGTTTTAAACGCACGAATCGTGTGATAATTTGCCAGACATTCACTTGCATTAGACGTGAAGGCATTGTCTGTATGTATGGTATGACTAATACACGTCTAAATACATCACAAGTGTTGGCAATTGTTATGTAACGCAATGTTATAAAGTTTAGTCTATTTTGCATTTTTATGCCTCAAATATTTATCACGAAATATATTTCTTATGTAAAGTACACATCCTTTTGAGTGAAAATTTAAATCATGTTTAAGACAAGTATTTTTGAGTAATATTTTCTGGTTTATTTGATTTAAAGCACAATATTCTTTGCGATGGCATTTGTTTGGTTGTGTTTTTGTATAATGAATGCCACAATCGCTTTAAACAAGTGATGAATAATGCATTTGATTATAGGCTTTAGAGTATAACAAATGGTTGAGTCATAAGCGGCTGTAAGTTTTGAACGAAGACCAAATCTGCTTATGTTTTATGTCTTATTCTTGTTTCTATCGGATTCTTGTGTTAGAAGTTATCAATAAATATGTAATTTATCTGAGAGTATGTAATTTGTTTGCAATATTAGTGTTTCACTATTTGAAACAAAACTCGGAGTCGAAGTAAAACAATATTGTTTTTATGAGTTATTATTTGCTATAATTGCCAACTCTTATAACACATGAGATGTAAGGAGTGATGGGAACGGAGTCTAGAAATAGAAATCAGGATAAATGTGAGACAAATGCACTGAATATCGAGAAGTCGTGTTATATCGCAGTCTCTGACGAAAACACAACTCCTCAAAGACATCTCCCAAAACACCACATCCTTTACATCACTCTTGTGTACAGTATATCCCAAACCCCAGTCGTATGTGTGGCACCAGTTTTAAAGTGCACTTTTCTCACAACTGTCTCAAAATTTAGTGAATTCTTGCAAAATACTTGTGCTTCAGTTTCTCTCATTACTGGTCTTTTGCTGCAAAAAATCTAATAAATATAAACCACTCTTTGATGTAATGGATGTAATTGTGAGCAAACATTAATCAAAGTGTGATTCCAATGCCTCGAAGCCTACGGTTCTCTCGCTTTCTCTTTTCAATACATTTCTTCTTATTTAAAGCGTTTTGATGTTAACTCTGTTTGACTTTTTTAGTTTACTATTAGATTAAGTGCACAAATGATTTCTCAAAATCTCAAGTCAT